GAGGTTGTTATTATATTTAGTTATGGCGGACGGCCACCTTAACAGAGCTTTGAGAGGGTTTCGATAGACAAAACAACTGAGTTCTAAAATGCCATTATTGTTTATCACAATTTGGATAACTTTAGTTCGGATTTTCTTATATCTATATTTTATCTATTATTTATTAATATTTACAAATTATCCATTTTTAGGTATTCAATGGATATTTCTTATTTAATAAAAAACAAAACAGTTAATATATATGTGTGTGTGTTTTATGTTAATATTAAGGTAGGCATATATCATATTGTATTAAAATAATCTAAATATTCTATAAATATATTTATTTAATATAAATATATATTTCAATTACGTTCGAATAGAATTTTAGGTTGAATTTAATAATATACATACCCTACTTATTATCTACTGAATCCAAAAAATTCCTAGACAAGGTCGGATCAGTTCGGTATTCATTAGTTTTTTAAATTGTCTTCTCTGTAGTCACAACATTATAAAGGTTTCTACGGGGGACAAAATTGAGGGTTAAGTAAGGATGATGATTATGACATTTTAACTCTCGAGTTACATGCCATGCCATGTCTAGCTACTTTGTCTTAAGATTTCTTCCTTAATACGCACCTTGTCTTAACATATATTTCTAACCTTTCCAAATTTCAACCAGATTTCATCGAGAAAACCAGCACCAGCACCACCAAATTCCTACATACATACATACATACATACATACATACATACATACATACATACATACATACATACATACATACATACATACATACATACATACATACATGCATCCGGATGGAAAGGTTTTTGTTTAATCAGCGAAAGAAAGTTTAAGATCCTTTGTGCTTGATGGTGGACGGAATTTCATATCATCCGAATAAAGGAGAGATTATTAAGTATGTTTAGGGTTTGTTTGGCCTTACCGTTCTTTTTTCTTCCTTTTTTTTTTCTTTTTAGTGTAAAAAAACATCAAATTTATGACTAGCTTTAATGATCTTAACGTATCTCCATATTAAAACCATTCAAAATGACTTGAAAATTACCACTAATTTTTTTTAAAAAAACAATGAAGACCCATTACCAAACAGATCAAAACCTCCTTCGTATGTTGAAGGGGGCATTGATCTTGCGCAACTCTTCCCTTGTCCTTGTAAAGGACAAAAACCTTGTAAATTATGTTTTTTTAAAAAATAATTTTTTTAATTATAAATTAATTTCTTTATATATTTTATATCATTTTGATACACTAATTTTAAAAATAAAAAATATTATTTTAATATAAAAATATTTTAAAAAATAATTACAACCACATTTCTAGAAATAATTAAAACTTCTTCTTCTTGGTAATTTTTTTAAATTAATTTGTAGCTTGCTCCACTGCTGATTGAATGCCCAGAGCTATAAAAAAGAAAAGAAAAGAAGAAGAAGAAGGATAACAGGTTGTGATTCTAATCAATGTTTCTTTTATTTTTCCTTTTTTAAATATCGATTTTTTTCCTTTCTTTCTTACAATATGATCATTCCCTTTTGTTGTTGGTTTAATTTATCGATATTGCTTGCCAGTGGGACGGGTAGCAGTCAAATTCAAGACTATGTGCTTTGATTCCGGTCTACAATCTCTCAAAAGAGAGCATTATCTATGCAAAGAAATTCATGTACATGTTAATTTTAAAACATGAAAGTGAACATGAATAGGGGAAAAAAAAAGTAAATATATATTATTAATTCATTAAAAACAGTGAGAAAATCATGAACAACATGGATCCACACGTACCAATGATCACCACATTTGAGCTCCTTTGTAAGCTCTAAATGGAGACCCCGTGATTAATTAAACCGATAAATTATTTCAAGGATAAGCTTTTTCTAAGTATGAAAAGTACAATATGCGCTAGTCTTAGATGCAATAAATTCTAAAGGCAAATCAAAGGCAACATGCAGGATCGATGATCGTTCATTCATGCTGTTTAATATTATATCCAAATCATTAGCCATTGTTGCTATTTAATCTTATCCCATCTTGGTTTTCTACGTTTTTCGTCCATTTCTGCATCATCATCAGCTTGATTTATTTATTTATTAATTTAATCAAGATATTAATTAAAATTTAAAGCATTAATACTTAATTCATATACAGATCATAATTGGAAAATACAAAGCATTATTAATTTAAAACCGAAAAGAATAATTTTTTTTTTTCAAAATACAGTGAATGCCAAACACCACGTAAATGTACAAAGCAGAAGTGTAGTTGATGGCTTGCTTTTGAGCAATAATTGCATGGATATACGAAACCATCCCCATGAAGAGAAGGTTCTGTGAATCATCAATGGCTAGTCAACTGTGAGATCATTTAGACCAAGAAACATTTTTTAAGCATGGCCCCCTTTCTTCCACAGCAGGGGCCATAGCCACAAGACTGGATACACAGCACATAAATTTAATGAAAATAAATGAACTTTCTTCAATTATTATTCTTTGCTTGATGATGGAAAACAGGAAATCATACTTTATTTTGGTTTCATATTGGATCGCCATCAGACTACCATTTTATAGTACCACTTGTTTCTATGTTGGAATGCTCTTCCCTTCTTTTAAGGATAATGGCCTCAATGGCTTTTCTTCTTTCGGCTCTAAAGAGAGAGATTAATTAATTTTTATGCCACGAAAGACAGCTTATAGCAATGGTTTTTGTGATTCATGCAACGTCTTTTCACGCAGACCTTAAAAAAATATAATGCTTGAATTATTAGAAGGTGCATGTCTAATTATTTCTAATATTTTCTACTAGCAAACATGCCGGACAATTAAATGTTTAATTATTAAATTCAGTTGAATAAGTTAACTCGAGATTTGATAAATTTGGCTCTTGATCTAATTCTTTTATAAGAAATAATAATTTAGAATTGATGTTGATGACTTGACGGGATAAACCGAGACCTAATTGAACAGTTAAAATTAAATATGATTTTTTATGTTTTAATTTAAAAAATAATTAAAATAATATTTTGATTTATATGAATTAACTTAAATTATCTTACTTAACCTATAATTTATATTTTTAAATTTATCCTGACATGGTTTAATAATTTTAATTAGAAATTGAAGCGGAGTTTAAAATCCTTCAATTTTCGAGAAAAATGTCTCGCAATATCATCTTTATAGCCTTTTCATATCTATTAGTGGATGGGTTCAACTGTAGTATTTTCAAGTGATTTTATAAGTCATTTTTTTCCCCTGCAAGTTGTTTTTTTTTGCATTTTTTCATTTTCAAAAAGAAAAGAAAAAACCATCATTCAATTGCTATGGAACTAGCCCAGTGGACATACACTCAGGGCCCAATAACCACCTCGTAGATTGTAAGCCCAGCTCCTAATTTGCCCAAAACAAAATAGCTTACAAACCTTGAAGGCATAGATTTTAAACCCAGCTTTTCTCGGCTGATTAATTTGGAATCTAGTGGATTTAGAGCTGAAACTGGATCTGATTAAAGAAAAAATAAAAAAAATTTAGTATAACTAGATTGATCCAATAGGATCTAGTTAAAAACTTAATTATAATTTATTAATTTTTATTATTTTACTAAAATAATATCATTTTAATTTAAAAAATAACCCATATAAAGAAAATCAGACTTTCAATCAGACCGGGTATGAAAAATATGCTCGAAGGCATGCTGATAAAGGCAGGCAATGAGGATTGAACCAGTAGAATAGCCTCAGGTAGTCCAGTATCGGTTCCCAGAAAAGTCCGTAGCCCATGGCACAAAAACACGCGTTCCCGGTCTGCTGAAAGGGCAAAGAAGTAAACGAGAAAAGATAAAATAAAAAAAAGGAGGAAAACGACAGTGTGATTCGCAAATTGGGCCGCCTATTTCATTTGATTCAAAAGTGTTCGATAAAAGCGAAATTCAAATTAAAACACACACTCTCTCTCCCCCCCTCCCCCTCTCGCATAGCGCAAAGAAAATGGAATTTAAAGCGACGGAAACTGTACGAGCAAAAATGGAGTCCCTGCGGTTGATTTGCGACAGAGATGCCCAAGTCCAACTGCAGAAAATGGACTCCTTCACAGCGTCGTTTTCCAACTCTATGGATTCAATCAAGGCCAGAGCAGAAGAAACTGTGCAGAATCAAGGTCAGAAGGCTTGCATTTTCACCTTGCTACAACTTGCTTAAATAGAAGCTAGGGTTTGTAGTGTAGTTAGTTTGGGAAGTTAACTATTCTATTTGTGGATGAATTAGAACGGTTAGTGCTTTGTAAATTGTGATTTTTGTTTTGTTTGCAGGGAAATTAGGGAGTTTGAAATCTAGCTTGAAAGAAGCTGATGGTGAATTTGTTAAAGTTCTGGCAGGTTTCTCTCTCTCTCTGTTTTCTTCTTACCTGTATTTGGAGGTGAAAATCCTCAGTAAATTTATGCTAGCATTTTTTTTTGTGTTGTAAAATCCTTTAATTTATTAGATCTTTTGAAGTGGCTGCTTCATAATTTGGATGTGAAATCTGAATTCGGGTGTTTCGGGCATTTAAAATGCGAGTAGTAATTAATTAATTGATGGCGAATGTGCATATTGCAAGTGATTCACTGACTGAACACTGGTAAATGCTACTATGATGTTAAGTTCGTAACTAAACAATCTAATATTGATTGCCTTACAACGAGCGATCGTCATTACCATTTTTGTTTGAAACTTTAGGTTTTGGGAGGGCTGTATTGTTTGCTTGTAATTACAGCTAGTGTGTTTTTCTAGTTTATTTTATTGGTTTTAGCATTAATCTGTAATGGAAGACATAACATATTGATTTGCTTGTTGAGAATTAATGTTTTTGAGTAAATCTTAGACAGGATTTGCATTTTCTTTCTATTAATTTTTATTTGCTCCTACACGCTTAAAATTTCAAAGAATAACTCACTCCCGATTCCAAATGTGAAGGTGGAGTTTAACTTTCACCAATCTTCAATTATGATGTTTTGTTTTATTTACCATTTGTATGCTTGAGTTGATGGATTGCCACGCTATTTTGGAAACCCTTAACTAAATAAATGATCAGCTAGTGGCACAGAATGTTTAGGAGAGACAAAGATATGCTATTTGGGAAAGTAAAGAAATGTTATAGCTTCCAAAATTGGTCTGATACAAAATTAGCTGAAGAACGTGCAGCAGAGACTTGTATTTGAATTGAGACATTTTGGTGTCTTAATAAGAATGCTGGAAGTGAGTAAAGATTGATAAGGGACAATGTGTGTCTTTTTCTTCTCTAAGCAAATCCACTCTCTGCTTCAATTGTTATTTATGTTTCGTGTGATAAAATGCTTTAGAACTGATTTCCATTAGCTTTCAGATTTATTTGTTTATTATTTTTTAATTTGTGCTCTCATATAGTTAAGACCCAGAAAGAGGCCAAGCAGCTGGTAACAAGGGACTCAATATCTGCTACAAGAGCTAGAATACAAAAACTTCAAAAGAGTGTTCAAGTTCAAAGGGCCAGGAGGGATGAACATGCAGCAATCATGTCCCAGCAATCTCTAGGTAATATTTTTTCCTGTTATTAGCTAATTGTTAATTGTTCGATTCTTAATTGTTCATATCCTTTACTCCATTGCCATACTTATTCTTGTGAAAAATTGAACAGTGCATTTTCCTTCAAATATTGTTTCATTAACTAACTTTATTACGATGAGATTTCTGTCAGTTTGGGTTATGCCTGTGAAATTGACTAGGGTTAGATCTTGGTTCTGATTGAGTTGGAAACAAAGGTTGGAAAGGTTCAGATTTGTAGGATGTGTTTTCACATTTTCCTGACATGTTAGGGCACTATGGGAACTTATGCAAACATCCATTAGGATGGGATCTGAACTGTACAATTCAACTATTGGTGGTTAGTTTGAATGCAATGCCTGGACTGACTACATAACCATGTCTCATCTCTGATGGGAAGAGGAATCACCAAGTCTGAATTCATATTGTTAATGAATTTTGAGTTTGTACATCCTCAATTCTAGTATGCTGTGATATTTCTTATGTTTGTTTCTTTGTCAGTTGCCTTCAGAACCATATTTTAGTTTGCTTATCGGTCTCTGCTCTCTGCCCTCTGCCCTTTTCTCTTTGGCATTGTTTTCAGCTTTGGCAACATCCAAAGAAACAGAACACCAAGACATTGACAATCAAAGGGAAATTCAAGAGGCAATGTTATGGTACAATATGGTTCTTGGCTTCAGAATTGAAGGTGGCAGGGGTAATCTATGCAATTGTATTTTTGAATAATCATTCTCTTTTATTCCTTTATGTAAATTCCGTACTTACAAATTCTCGATATGTTTAGGGGTAAAATTCACATTCAACAACATCAATTTGAAAAATCCATACAAGGAGTGCTCTTTCACCATTCGCTATGAAAATGATATGTACACATGTAAGTAATGAATGCATTTGGATTATAAATTAATTTCAAACCTGAACTCAAGTGAGTCTTTGTCCATTCCATTTCTGATATGGGCTAAACTTTTCATCATCTGTTGTTTGAATATATTCTTATTATATTTAAAGTATTTTCTGCCTAATTTGCAGTGTTGGCTTGTGATCCACAATTGAATGACACCAAACAGTTGATCCATGAGTTGAATAAAACCAATGGCTTGTTCAAATTTGTCAGAAAATTGAGAGAGAAGTTTCAAGAAGCTGCACCACTTGGTAGAGTTTTACTTGTGTGCTTGGGATACTTTCTGGATAATGGGCACTCGCTTTCTCTTTTGTGCATTATTTTCCATGGAATGGTTCATTATTTCGGCAAACATAAATGTTGGTTCCAGACATGACTTGAATATGACATGCTAGTTGCTCTTCTGGGACAACCACTAAAATGTGGAGAAGTTTGATGAATAGGCTTTCAGTTCAGCTGTTTATGAGCAATTTCAGTACTCCTAAACTAAACTATTGTATGTTCAACCTTAATGCATTAGGATTCTTGCCTCAGTCCACAACTCTTCATCAAGAGACAACAATATCTGTGTCTGCTCCAGTTTTTAGTGATGTTAGTGAATCTCCATCAACGACAAGCCAAACTTCAGATGAACTCAAAAGAAATTCCAAGAGAAGTAGGCATGGAAGAGGAGGGAGACAGGCAATCTTGTCTCCTGTATCTGTTCGGCGGTCCCCACGCTTTAAGGTAACTTGATTTTGATTGCATAGGAAGTTCAATGTTTTTTACCACCTCCAAATACCAACTGGATAATGCTTGTTTTTTTCTTGCAATTTAACTCTAGGCAATTAGTGGTGGATGACAATTGAAAAAAAAAAAAGGCTATAAATTGAGTTTGAAATGTGTAGACAACATGATGTAGCCAGTATTCCTCCTAGCATGTTGAGTTTGTCACAATCATTCCTTGAACTTTCTGCATTCTGAGATTACCAAGCAAGGCCTATAGGTTCTGTGTGGCAACTGTGTTATGGTTGTTCTCCAACATTCTTATCATGCTCTTGTGAAGCCTTTCTCTCTCCTTTTCATTCTCAAATAAAAGCATTCTTGCTCATTATGTACTTATTACAATTCCCCTTTTAGTTCTTTGATATTTGTGCTATACAACTTGCACTGATGTGGATTTTCTTGATCTGAAATTTATGTCAGGGTAAGAAATGAAGAAGTGGAGGCAGTTTTTGTCACCTTTAGTTTGGTATGATTGCGTGCCCTTTTAACTTGCTTGTGTGAAGCTGGTCATTATTTGTGACTAGGTTGCTTTCTTGCTTGATAGTCGACATGTGAATCAGGCCAATTTATCATATTAGTGGAAAATTAACTGAAAGGGAATGAAGACTCTCCAACAGAACGATTACTACTCATCTGACACGATGACCTCAACAAGGAGCCCAATTTAGCTGCTTTAGTGTATCATGTTGTACTTGTGATCTTACTCGATGACCGATGTAAAGGGCCAAACATGATTGTCCCTTTTGTTGATGTCTAATCTATGGATTTGGACATATTAGAAGCACACTGTTTAGTTTTAGATATCATTTAATTCAATGTGATGCGCTGATGTTCTTTGAAACGGATAATCGGGACAACTCAGTTTTCGTAAGTTTTCACATTTTATGGTTTTCCTGAACTGGTTTTCATAGCTATGATCTTATGGCTGTTCCCTTGCTCTCCTTCCCCTTCCCTAAACACAGAGTCTCATATACAAGAGGAGGGCAATCCAGCTGGTTAGAGGCTTTTCTCACCATCTGGCTTGCCCGTTCAAGCCATCTATTGTCCCTCCATTGAGATTTTGTTTTTTTGCTTAATGTAACAAGAACAAAATAGCTCACTTGTAAACTTATACGAAGGAAATAGTCCCTTTTATTAATGTCATAAATTGAACTAAATCTCATATCCACTCTATTATACAATGATGTGCCATCCCTATCTCGTTATTTAAACTTGTCAACTTTGAATTATCCTTTGCTCTTTTTTTTTATTAGCTCCTACTCTTATAAAATCCCTTTCTTAAGTATATGTACATCGGATAGAATTTATAACTTGTAGATATGCATGGATCCTAAATATGTACTCTCATCACAAGGAAGAGCATGCTATGCTGCCGGTAGATACAGATATCTCTGCATCAGTGCATGGGTTTGCATCCACAGTTTCTGTGCTTCAGATTCATCATTTGCCAGAGTTGAACATTTACTTTCATTACAGTCTGCGAAGTATTTGCCACTCACACCTTCTATTTGCTGACTCAAAGCAACATAACATGTGGTTGATGCACCCTGCATATCATAGAAGCACACTCGCTCACCTAACTTGAAGTCTCTCTGTCTATCTGTATGTACATGAATCTTTTTGACAGGGGAAATGACAAGGGAGCGTTGACAAACCTGAGATGTTGATTTTAGTAACTTGGACGCAATGAAGTAAAGGGAATCTGCAGATAAGATTTTTAGTACTTATATTAGATTGTTTTTCCTTTTCTTCCATGAAAATATTCTGGGAGGAAGATAAATGAAGCTACCAGTGAGAAAGCCCTTATAACTAGCTCTCAATATTCCAGTCTTCACAATGCCTGGATGTACCGCGTTGATAGTTACTCTTGCATTCCTTGCCTGCCAAAAAAATCAAAATTTACCTTGAGCTTTGGTGTCTAAGAGGGAAGAGAGAAGTAAAGGGGCTGATCATGGGCGGCAGTTTACCCTGAGCTGTCTGGCTATTTCCTTGACATGCAATATATTAGCCAATTTGGATTGAGAATATGCACGTGTCCCATCATAGCTGCAAAATGAGAACCAAATCTCAAGCTTGATTTTTTCTTACATAGCAATAATTCCTTTCATGATCATGATTACTCCATTTGGGATTTTCCTACAACTTGCTAATGACTGTTTAATCGATGCTGATTAGATTCTTGGTGGTTGTTATGCTATCATTAGGATCTCTTTTAGTCTAATCACGTATCATTTGAGAGGATGTAATTTTAGCCCAAGCTCTTTACTAGATATGGGCTCCTGGCACTCAAATGATGCCGCACGATTCCTTTTTATTGTAACGTTACTGAAATTAAGGAAAGAAGAGGGATCTTACTTCTTCGGGCTTAGCATTTTCTGGAGGCAAAAAGTGTCTCTCTTCACCCAGCTGTGAATTACAGACGAGAGATTTATTATTCTTCCTTGGATGCCTGTCTGCTCTGCTGTTTCTATCATTTTCTCTAGCAGCAGCTCTGTCATCAAATAATGCCCTGCAAAAGGTCTCAAGATCGGTCGGTGGGTCTCGATGGTAGTAAAAACTTGATTTTCCCACCACCTTGCTACATCTTTTTGATGTTTTAGGGCCCCAAATCATCATCTTAAAGCTTCATAATCTCTATTTTGTTTTCTATTAATGATATTCTCAAATCCGTTCTTATGCTAATCAAAATGAAATCCCTTCTAATTAACAATCTTGATTCTTGAATCTAACAACTAGCTATGAGTGTAGAAATGGGGTCCCAAATAAAAAAAATACTACCACACTCGAACACTGTTAGGGCCTATAGAGGGGAAGGCCCATTGTCTACATCTTCATGTAATGACTAATCCCACCATGCCTCTAAACATCTTGATAACACTAATTAGACCTGCAATCAAGGTTGACAAACCACTTTTACTTTTTTTTTTTTGTTATTAATTACAATTATTTTATTATTTAGTGGTCTAACAAGGAGGTATTATCATAACCATAAAGTTGAGAATAATAGTTAGCCGTGTCTTTTCTGCTTTTTCATTATTTCAAAGTAATCATGATTTTCCCCATTTTTATTTTTGATTCTCATGATTTTCCCCACAACACTTGAGATTGTCAGATAAGTTCGGATATGTTTTTTATTTTTTTTAAAAAGAAAGATACCTGCAATATCATAATTACGGAAAGAAGAAGAAGAACCAGCAAGAGATTCAGTGTTTACCCAAGTAATTTGTAGCAATTGTCATTTCGATTTTGTCTTCAGAGAACTCCAATTTCTGAGAGTATATGCCAGCATTATTTCTGCAATTAAAGTGATCATACTCTTAGCAACTATACGTGTTCATGAAAATATTGCTGGTCTCAAAAATACAAGAGAAAGAATTAATATATATATATATTCACACACTCACATGAGGATGTTAAGGGGTAGTCCAAGAGCAAGAAAACCAGAACAAAATCTCTTCACAGAAACAAACGAGCTCATATCAGTCTCAAATATTATTATCTCTGAATTTGGACTCTCTTTTTGTATCACTTCCTTTACTCCAGCTGCCTTTTTCAAGTCCCTTGCTGGAATCACTATTCTCATACCCTTTTTAGCTAGTGCTCTTGCTGTTTCCACTCCAATACCTGATGTAGCCCCTTTAAAGAAAAGAAACAAAAATCAAAATACTCAGCAAACGAGTGGTATAAATTAAAAAAATACTTGGTAAAGTCAAAACATTACAGATAATTAATTAGAGCGGGGATAATATATAGAAGAATGTTGTGAATCTTGTCATACATTATTTTATTACACAAATAAATTTTAAAATAGCACTATATTAAGATTAAAAATTCAAAAGCTACTCTTATTTTTTTATATATGAGAGTTACATTCTGTATATCTTTTGTTTTTCAGAGGAAACGTAACATCATTAATTGTTTCGTTGAGAACATATATATATATATATGTATAGTATATGTGTGTGTGTGTGTGTGTATATATATATATATTTGCAAGTTGAGAATAAATAATAAATGCATGGGGATTTATGGATATGCTTTTTGAATAAGATCGAAGGAAAATAAGTTTAATAAAAAAAGCAGGTGAAAAACGATGAAAGTATATAAAACAAGGGCATGATTCATGGCTGAGAAAGAAGTGATCAAGTATGAAACAGTCAGAGAATATATAGATAAAAATCACTCAAAAGAGACAAAACCCTATCTCGCAATAGCCAGAAAGGGCCACTAGTTAAATAACCTTTGTAGAATATACTGAATATTGTTGGGAGGATAATACAAAAACTATATGCTCTTAACTTCAGATCGACCACTCATTTTCTGCAGCACACACAAAAAGGGATATGAAAACCACTGCCAGAAACTATAGGAAAATATGGAAGAGATCAATATGTTGAAGGAAAAGAAAACGAAATGGTAGCTGATAGAGAAAAGAATTGACAATGAGGAGAAAAAGGAGAAAAAGGAAGCAAAGAAGTTGATAATGTCTTGGGGAAGAAGGGAAAGGGTAGCGAAGGAAGATGAAGAAGGAGGAAATCTCACAATCTCAAAGGCTAAAACTCCTCCAAGAAAATGAAAAAGAAAAGGGAACAAACCTTTTTCATCCATGCTTATTCAGGAAAAAGGTGGTGAAAAGATGAAATATAATTCCCAATATCAAAATAAATTAACTTGTGTATATATCTTGGTGCTTAAAGATAAAACCCAGAAACTAACCAGTGATGATGGCAGTTAAATGGGGAGGGACAAAGCAAGCAGAATCTTGAATAACTTGCTCAGCAGTTGAATTTGAGCCATAACCACTTGGGCCTGCAATGCCTGCTAGATATCTCCATGTTTCCTTCATGGGGCTGGTGCCTTTGAATCTTCGAGAGCAAGAGAAACAGTTTAGCCTAGAGACCACACAACTCTCTCTCTCTCTCTCTCTTTATATATATATATATAGAAAGACGACTCTTGCTAAAGATATGCAAGAAGAAGGGATTTTCTGGTGATCAAAGGATTATTTCAAGCTGGTGGTCATGTCCAAACAACACCTGACATGTGTCACAATGGCTGAACTCTACTGCACCACATCATTGAAATAATTGGTTGAGACAGGCTACAAAGGATGGTCAATGGGGTAGGAGATGTTTTAAGCTTTGTGGTTGCAGTACCATTATTTTGTCCCTTCCTTCTTCCTCATAATTAATGGAGAAGCATTGTGCTTGTCGAAATGTACCATTATCATGTGTCTTGATATTGTTATTTCCATTTCCACTACTGTCTTTCCTTGCCGCTGGGTGCTTGCGCTATCTATTATTCCCCAACAGGATTTCTAATGTCAATTTATGAGGACATTTGTTACATCAGAGCATGAAAATTCACTCAAACTGGTGAAATTTGACTTCCTTGTGAATAGTTTTGGAGTACTGTGCGTTTCGCTTGCTTTAATTTTGTTGGTTGGATCTGACACAGCTCACGATTAGTCTATCATACATGACTTTTTTGTTAAGGAATTAATCATGTCTTGATCAGACATTAGCGTACCTTAATTCCTATATCAAGGGACAAGACATGTTGCTTGATGCAAGGAAAATTGACAGTCAAAAAAATTAATGATGGTAAACATTGTGAAAGATTTATGAAGGCACAGTTCCAAGTACATATTGGATTAAAAAAGTTGCGTTTAATCTAGGTTTCTTGCAAATGATTTTTTCCCCCCTCACTCGTTACATGTTGCCAATGATTAATTAGTCATGAAGGTCTAAAAAAACCTGGAACGTAGGATTCAGAATTTGTTGTGCTTCCATGGAATTCAGATTTCTCTTCCTTCGCTTAAGCTACTTGCTTTCTGAAAGCACATAATCGACCCGCTACCTAGTGAGAGAGACGCTGCTGGGACTGGCCAACGATCGTTCTAGCAGCAGTGACTGCTACTTGTATAAAATTCATTCAATGAGAGATCAAAAGGCAAATATTCCATGGAGAGATAGGGTGTGCTACAGCGCATACCATCATTTTACTTTCAAATCAATTCAAACTTGTATAATTACTTACCCAACAAAATCGATGTCCATGTAGTATTCACACGTGTGCATCTGGAAAATGAAAACCGAGTGATAATTGCATGCAATATTGAGAAATACATTGGGTTTTATCTCGTGAGAAAAGGGCCAAGGATTTCAGACAAAACTGCTTTTTCCTGTGCAAGGCCGTGTCATTCACTTTTCCTTTTGGTCTCCACGGCCAATTTTTTCAATCCGTCACTTTGAGAAAATGATAGCCGTTGTTGGAGGATTGATGGCCTAAAAGAGAGCATTGAGGTTGACTCCTCAACAATGGAGTTGTGAACTTGCTATGCACTGGGGACCCAGTGGTTCCCCAAGCTGCTTACACTTCTCATCAAATTGCAACAGCATAGTGAAGCACTTCTGTTGTAGTTTCACATGTGATCTTGCCTCCCTTTGGGTTCATTCTCTCATTCATGGCATGCTCACAAAAAGCGTAAAGTAATAAAGGTTTGATTGGAAGGCCCTTTTACTAGCCATAAATGCTTGTTGGAAACAAAAGGGAATTTCCCATTATTCAAAAGCTAAAGAGGGTAGCTTCTTGTGCCAAAAATCTAGGGCAAAGATTATGCATTTAAACAACCTCCCCCCCCCCCCCCCCCCCCCCTTTCTTTTCTTGAAGTTTTGCTCCTATTAAGAGTGATCCAGTGTCTCATGAATGAATAAGACTTGAATTCCTTTTCTAGTAACTTCAAGATTAATCCTACATCAAATTCACGAGACAAAAGGGGAGTTTGGTGATGGATATCATTGTTTAGAGGCACGCAGAGGAGGCTTATATCCTCTCCTAAAAGAAATTTAAATTCGAAACTCTCATTTATTGCAAAAAAAAAAACCCCATTTCCGTATACTTCCAAATAAAGTGTCTTGGCGTAAGATCCGAATATTTAATAACACTTATTGAAGGAAGGAGAAGTCAACTGAGAAAAAATAAATTAAATAAAAAGTGAAAATATCCGAGAAAACATTCTCATTGAAAAATTGAATCAAACAACCTGACCAAATTCTCAACCCACCGCTTTCTTATCGTATCGACTTTTCTCAGTTAAAAGATAGTTTTAGTCTTGATGAACGCTATCAAATCTTCAACAACTCCACCGAATCGCCATTTGAGAACCCAAGCAAGTCCATTAGCCACCTAACCAAAGATCTCCCATTTCTTTTCTATCGATATATATGATTCCAAGAACACCTTTTCAGTTTTAAATTCTTTGCTAAGCACTAATATTAAATTAAGAGAAGAATGAACGTTGTATCTGCTATATACCACAAGTTATCTAGGGCTAAAATTAACAATATTGCAAGAAAATCTCCCCCAAATTAAAGATTTAATAAGGGACCAATCGATGCCTCCATGTACAAAAGTTTCCTACCTGAATTGATGCATCTCAACAATGCAAATTAAGCACAAACCATTGCCGACAAACCCTAAGAATCTCTCACATCACTTGCCAACCCACCTTTTGTCATCCATATCGTAGATCAAGTTTACTTGAAAGAAAATTATGTATCATTTCCTATGAGTGCTAGCCACACGTATGTGCCTTAAGCCAATCATGGGATGACATATGGCCCCATGGAGGCGCGCCATAAGCCTTAAGATGGAGCCAATCATGGGATGACATATGGCCACAAGGAGGGGCGTCATAAGCCTTAAGTTGGAGCCAATCACGGGAGCGAGTGGGACATGGCCACATCTAGTGTTTGCCTTTTGTTACACCTAAAACATAGATTACTGGATTAGCTAGCCATATATTATTGACATGATGATCGATGCTAAGTACTAAATAACAATAGATCGTCATGTTTTTGCTTGCTTTAGTTCCGTGTATGAGAAGATTTGCAGAAAAGGTTGTTTGTCTTCATCTTGGTAACTATATCTAACCTAAAAGACACGAGGGGCTTGCCAAATTTTATATAAAAGTTGGAAAAAAAACTAATATTGAATTGGAAATCGAGATTTGACTGAGAATACGCACGCATATGTGTGTGTATGTGTCTATGTATATTAATCTCTAAAAAAATCCTTCTTAATTAAGTGATGATTAAATATTTGAAATAGTTAAGAGAAATCCATGTGACGGAAAAGGAATATAAGCAAAAAAATTTATTCAGACAGTATAATGTGCTTGCCATTCTAGGTGAGTGGATGACAATATGGGCTGAGCATAGTCTTCGTGGTTGAATATAGAGCTTTAAATCATAGTTGTCAAAGCTGAAATGATGAATTATTCGCTCCAAAGCTTCACATTTGGATCTTAATCGATCTTGAGACATGATCAGATGACAAAATTATCTTTGGTTGATCAGAAGTCTCTTCCTTTTAAAAGAACGTCTCGGCCTTCTATATGCTCCAAGTCTAGAATGGTCCTTCCTTGTCATCAATCAAACAGCATGCGTGCTTTTTAGACATTTCGATTTCGGGGCTTCACAACTTTCATTTACAAAGAAATTATTTGAAGAAACACTAAATTATCGTGTTTGTGACAAAAGAAACACTGGATTATCAGAATGATCCATTGTTAAATCAGGAGTTGATAATCGATTAATTGAAAAAACAACAATGTCAAGCAATGCCAATGATATTGAGGAATATTAGCATGATCCATTGTTAAAATCCGTTTTGATTATGTTTTGTTTTGATAAGCAATACATAGTAGCCATAGGAGGCTGAGAGTCCAAAGTGTATCTTACATGGCCAGAGCAGCAACAGCCATAGAAGCTATACAACCTGCAACAATATTAATGAGCAGAAAAACTAACCCAGCTTCACTAGACAAAAGAACAGAAACTGAAAACTAAAGAGAAGAGAAGACCAAGCTTCAGGACAGCAAATAAAACTCAGAGTATCTCCCATAAAAGAAAAACCCAAGAATCCCAAAAGGCATCAGAAGCATGCACACCCCAACAACTGCAGAAAGAAAGCACCAGAAGTCACAGTGCACAACTTGAAGGATGAGGACCTTCCCAGCAAGCCTGCAGGAAGGATCATCAACTACCCAAATCCCCCATGGAAGACACAACAGCAAACCCATGCTGGAACCACATATTATCCAAGCTTCCAGAAGCTCAAGTCCACGCCTTAAGGTCCACCAATCTGTAGACCCCAAGTTTTGCAAGGTATTCAGCCATGGAGTTGGCTTCCCGGAGGGTGTGGCAGAAGGAGACATTGCCCAGACCTGAAGAAGACCTGGAAACCAGAGCTACAAACTCATGAAACTTCCAAGGTCTGGAGCGGGGATTGTTCAACCAACTCACCGCAGAAGCAGAGTCTGATTCTACCGAGAAATTGAGCCCCATAATATCTCAGCTTCATTCGAGTCCTTGTTACCCACTGAACAAGAGAAGATGCCACTTAACAATCCCTAGATGATCCCTTAACACACCACCAATACCTGCAGGCCCTGGTTTTCCCTCAGAAGAACCATCAACATTCCATTTTAGTGTTTGATCATCCGGGGGGTTCCATATATAACAATGGAGCTCGATTGCTTTTCCCATTCGTCCAATGCACAAGACCTTAATATGATAGCCATAAATCTGAGTAGATCGCTCTCAACCATGAACATACCCTTGTCAATATCAACAAGAAAATAGTATTATAGTCAGGGACCCTGTTATTGAATACCTTGTCATTACTCATAAGCCATACTAACCACAGGACAGCAAAGAAAAGCGTTGTCCAAACCTTCCTATGGCTTCTTTCAACATAACCGTTTTATGCATGTGTACGAGGACACATTAATTACTTTACGATTTCTTTTTTATTTAAAAAAGAGTTAAATTTATGATATTCACCATCCCAATCACTCTAAGACATAGTGTTTTTTTTGGGAAAATTACTGTTACATACCTGCACATTTGAATTTTGCATTTTGTGTACCATAATCCATAATAATCAAAGCTCTGGTTTGTTAGTT